AATTCTTGCAGCACACAGCTCATTTTGGCAGCCTTGAAGCTGAGAGTGACTGTTTACTTTTGGTCTCCTTTGAGGCTGTAGTTTCTATTGCTCTACGGCTGACTTTTGGATTGTTCTTGCAAAATATGTGAAGTTTTTCTCTTATCCCTTTTTTCCTTTTGTTGAATATCACATATGATATTCTCATAAGAATCTTTAAGTATAACCCTGTTTCATGATTTCTTGTGTCTTTCGATTTCTAGTCCTGAAGATTTTGGATCAGAAGTGTATGGCTATGCTCAGCACTGTCACTCGTTGCCAAGACATGATAACGTATGCTACATGTTTTTCAACTCATGCTATTCTTTAATAGTATAATTCACTTAAGAAACTTTTGAATATCTGTGCTAGTGCCTCATTAACACTAAAAAGTTGGGAATTTCCAAGTGCATTTTTTTCTTTAAAATTTAAATTAATCTATATCATGTCCATCATGCTAAATTGAAGATTCATACAATGCTATGTCGTTCGCAATGAAATTGTATTTTGGTCCTCACAATATATCAAAGTGATCTTTCTAGCTAGTTCCTTATTTATGTAGTTATTTATTATTATTTAATTTTTATAGTTGAATTGGGACTCTATGCTAGATTGCAAGCCTTACCATCTTTTCATAGGAGTGAGTGATACGAGGATGGGTAGTCATCATCACATGGCATTTTCTAGTTATTTTTTTAAATTAAAATTTTTGTTTTGAAGTGATTTGAATCATTTGGTTAGACATATTGGTTGTAGGTGGATCCATGCTGGAAAAGACCTGATGTAGTTTGATTAACCAGTTAATTTCAAAAATGCTGCTTTTATAGACCAGAATTTAATCATTCAGGGCGTTATGTACTTTTTACTAGCTGTTCTATTCTATAAGATTGATGTTGATCAAAGAAGATAGTAGTAGTGTCTTTTAAAGTTAAATGTTGCCTGCACTAATGATTCTATGAATTCATTTCAGTGAGATGATTACCTGTGCTGTTACTGAAGGGGATGACAATCACGGTGAGTGCTTTCACTACTTTGTATAATGTGACCTGTTCTGTTCAAGATTTTAGGATGTTCTGGGAAGGTTCTCTACTCAAACTACTTGACAGCCTGCTTTTGGATAGTGAGCCCTTGGGGTCAAGAAACAAGTATTTCTTTGGCTTTTGTTTGTTCAGTTTGAAATGGACTACAGTATTAAAATGTTTTCAATCAAGTTGTTTAGATTATTGATTAGATTCAAGTTTGGGAGGTTTGACCTTCTGGATTCCCGGAGTTAAGCAATGCTGGTTATGCGGCACCTTAGATCCTATCACAAGGTAATTTATGTAATTGATTGAAGATCGCTGGAAGTAGCATCAAGTTATATAGACAAGCATCTTCTCATTGTTGTGTCATAATTCCTTCACAGGAAAATGCATTGGAATGTGTCCAAAGAGTTATAGGAAAACAAGGCAAAGTAACGAGTTGTTTGTTGCCTATGGTTTTAATGAATGCTTATAAAATATAATTCGCCTTGAAGTTTGTTTTTATGTTACAGAAGATAGTTCCTCTTTCTTATCAATTTTTTTTTCTGTTTCCTTTGCCAGAGCTGCTGTTACACATGGTAAAGATTGTGGCATGGTATCTAAAAGTGAGAAGTTAAGAGTATATCATATATTCCTTTACATTCGTTTTTGTTATTTATGGATGACTTAGTGGAATCCAGTGATATGATCACATCACAGTTCGTCATCCTGACAGAAAGCAACTCGATTCCTACATGGGAGATTTTCCAATTGAGAACAGGTGAATTGTGAAGCAAGGTATGATTGATGTTATTTAACAGGCTAAAAAACTCCTCCTGTAGATTTTTTGCTAACTTTGACAGATGACATCAATTACAACAAAAACAATTAGATAAGACAGGAAGGCCACTTCTCTACTCCCATCGTTCCATCATTAAATATTAATTTCACTGTGATTTATTATATAATAATGGTGAAAATTGATTGAATAACAGCTGTGCTTAGAAGGATAATATGCATACTGATTTACTATATCTAGGTAGGTGATTAGACTATAATTAGAAGTAATAAGAAACTCCTCTTTTGGAGCCTAATAAAACATTGGTAATTGTTATAATGACAGTACGGAATTTTTTTGTTGGATGTAAACCAAACATATCCCACTAATATTGTGATCATCCACAACGATAAGCAACTTTTTTTTGTTTTTTTAAAAAAATGAAGTTATAACGGCGTTTTTAAACGTCACTATAGAATACCAACGGTTACATTTTGAAAATAAAATTGACCTATCACGGCGTTTTTAAAACGTCGATAAATGAGTAGTGACGTCATTGTACAATTATGCAGCACATTTAGCGGCGTTTTTAAAAACGCCGCATATACTGATATATCACTTTTTTCTTGATGGTTGTTGCTGGAGGCTGGGCAAAGGTTATATCACTTTTTTCTTTGGTGCATACATTTCCAACGTTGGATTTGTTCTGTATGTATGGGCATTAGCTAAATCTGATGCTTGCAGGTTAGGGAGCAGGGTCAACAGAAAGGAGAAGCTAGTCCTTTCTTAGCGGAACTGCTACGCCTTGAAGAGCAAGCCAAACAACAAGGGTTAGGACGTTGGAGCAGGGTGAGTCTAAGTCCTTTACTGCTGTTTATTTGTTTATTTTATTCTTATATAATTTAGTCCATCCATTTTAATCCTAAATATCCTTATACTTTTATCAGAATTATGTTTTAGTCCCTCTATTTCAATCCCTTTGTCAATTCTCCGAAAGAACATTATAGGCTATGTCCAATTGCTAATTGACTTGAAATGTAGGGAGTTAATTGGGACAGTTAAAATACACAGGTGCAAAGTGAACCAAATTTTTGCTAGTGGACAGTTGGACAATGAAACAGTACATAAGAGAAATTACAGAACATCATCACTTGCATCGAAACCATACAACGCCAGACCATTTTTCACATATTTGGAGCTGACTAGGCCACACAACCCATTTCAATGGTAGTAAATACATACTAATTGGCTAACAATGCCTGTGATTGCTTCTCATAGCTAAATCCTAATCCTTTTGCCTTGGACTCATCAGCACACCAAACAAAAATCCCATGAAGTTCTTGCTGATTCTTGAGCCTACTGCAAGCGGAAAAAAAACCATTTTCCGGTGACAACCCACCGCTTCCATCACTGATGAAGCTCACCAAGACCTTCCCTCCATTGTAATTAGAGCTCTGAGTCTGAAAATAGGCCATAAACTGAGAAACATTGGTACTCTGATCATAAGCATAAAATTGGAAATTGACAGTCAATGAGATTGCCATAGCTCTTCCACAAGGCCAAGTAATGACTCTGAACTTGATCATCATCACAAGGTAATTTATGTAATTGATTGAAGATCGCTGGAAGTAGCATCAAGTTATATAGACAAGCATCTTCTCATTGTTGTGTCATAATTCCTTCACAGGAAAATGCATTGGAATGTGTCCAAAGAGTTATAGGAAAACAAGGCAAAGTAACGAGTTGTTTGTTGCCTATGGTTTTAATGAATGCTTATAAAATATAATTCGCCTTGAAGTTTGTTTTTATGTTACAGAAGATAGTTCCTCTTTCTTATCAATTTTTTTTTCTGTTTCCTTTGCCAGAGCTGCTGTTACACATGGTAAAGATTGTGGCATGGTATCTAAAAGTGAGAAGTTAAGAGTATATCATATATTCCTTTACATTCGTTTTTGTTATTTATGGATGACTTAGTGGAATCCAGTGATATGATCACATCACAGTTCGTCATCCTGACAGAAAGCAACTCGATTCCTACATGGGAGATTTTCCAATTGAGAACAGGTGAATTGTGAAGCAAGGTATGATTGATGTTATTTAACAGGCTAAAAAACTCCTCCTGTAGATTTTTTGCTAACTTTGACAGATGACATCAATTACAACAAAAACAATTAGATAAGACAGGAAGGCCACTTCTCTACTCCCATCGTTCCATCATTAAATATTAATTTCACTGTGATTTATTATATAATAATGGTGAAAATTGATTGAATAACAGCTGTGCTTAGAAGGATAATATGCATACTGATTTACTATATCTAGGTAGGTGATTAGACTATAATTAGAAGTAATAAGAAACTCCTCTTTTGGAGCCTAATAAAACATTGAAAATTAATGAAGAAGATACAAAGAGCCTTGTTTTATGCACTCTAGTTTTACAATGCTATACTAGCAAGTCATACTATTGCTAATAGATTTTCAGTGTCAATTCATATTTTTTGCCTAATTGTTGTTCAGAAGATCAAATTAAACCAAGCAAACCAGAGGTTATCATCAGGACCATTAGCTACAGAAAGCTCATTCATGGAGGAAGCTAATTTCAAAGTGCAAAGGAAAGGAAAGAGATAATTCATAGGTACAAAGCAAACCGAACCTAGATAAATTTAAATTGACGAGAAGGAACTCATAGAGGTATATTTTTATTTGTTTTTGTGAAATTTTAATGAGAAGGAACTCATAGAGGTATATTTTTATTTGTTTTTGTGAAATTTTAATGAGAAGGAACTCATAGAGGTATATTTTTATTTGTTTTTGTGAAATTTTAATGAGAAGGAACTCATAGAGGTATATTTTTATTTGTTTTTGTGAAATTTTAATGAGAAGGAACTCATAGAGGTATATTTTTATTTGTTTTTGTATAAGAAACATGAGAAGGAACTCATAGAGGTATATTTTTATTTGTTTTTGTGAAAACTTATCGTTCATGTACTCAAATGCTCAAGCTCTTCTCATTGTATTAGGCAAACAAAATTTTAATGAAGAAGATTGAGGATGATCAGTTCCTAGACCTTATGACTCTGAAAACAAAATTTTCGTTGGTAAATTGTTTGTTTGTGCTTAAAAGCTTGTAAGCAATCTTCTATGTTGTGTTCTCTTTATTTTGACAATCACACTCAAATTATAGCCTTACTTTAAAATAGCAATGTGTAGTAACTGAGATGGAGATGTTCAGTTACAGCACTGCTGGTGGAGCAGCAAACCAGGGTGCTCTTGGACCGTTTGGTTTGTTGGTTCTTGCAGATGAGAGCCTTTCTGAGCAGACTCCCATTTACTTCTATGTTGCCAAAGGAGCTGAGGGCAAGTTGAAGACTTTCTTCTGTGCTGATGAATCAAGGTTTGTTACTCTTTTCATTGTGCACTTGAAACATACTCAATATTAATTAACATTTTTTGTCCTTTATTATAGTTTTATTGGTTATGAGTATTACCAAATTATATAAGTCCATCCTTATAATTTTTAATTTTTTTTTGAAAATTATATTACCTGCCCCTTGTTAACAATCATTTTGAAGGTAGAATCTCCATCCATCTCTGAAAACCTCCATTATTTTCATATAATTCTGATTTTTTCTCCAACCCGAAACATTGGCTTAGTATTATTAGAGGTTAGGATGGCAATGAGGCAGGTATGAGTCTTTGACCCCTACCCTCCTCCACCTTTGTTTAGTGAATATTGGACCTTATCCACCAGACTCTCCTCTCCCCCTCGGCCCTCCCCACATAATATAATCTAGTCTCCGACCCTACTTGCCCCGTTTAGTGTTATGTCTTATATTTTTAGTATTGAATAGTAATAATGTGATTTTGATAGTTCTAGATGACAATGATTTAACATTGATTTAAGTGTGCGATCAGAGTCAAGGAAGAAAGAAAAGAGCTGTAATACACAATAAAACAGAGAATAGAAGAGAGAAAAAAATCTTTAAAATCATTTTATAATTATGTAATTTATATGTCAGGTTTTTTATAGTATGCATAATCTGGTCGGGTTACCCTCCCCAAACTCATTTTATTAGAATCGGGGAGGGTTGGGAACTGCTGGGTCGGGGATTTTTTTGCTATCCCTAATCAGAGGACTGTTTTTGGCATGAACCACAACTTGACTCGCCGATACACCTGTTTTTTGTGTAGGTCTTCAAAGGCAACAGATGTGATGAAACCAATTTACAGAAGCACAGTTCCAGTGCTCAAAGGAGAAAAGTTCAGCATGAGAATATTGGTATGTTAAAAAAATCATTTTGCTTAGTAAATAATAATTTGCTGACTAAAATCCTAAAATTTATCGAAAATAAAATTTGGATTATTAAAATGTGGGGTCATTTTTAATTTAGGTGAATCATTCGATAGTAGAAAGCTTCGCTCAACGCGGGAGGACGTGCATAACTTCGCGGATATATCCAACGAAGGCCATCTATGAGGATGCAAAAATTTTCTTGTTCAACAATGCTACTGAGGCCAACATCATAGCCTCCCTCAAGATTTGGCAAATGGACTCTGCATATATTCATTCCTATCCTACTGAACTCATAATGTAAAAAAAAAAAAAAAAACCACTTCTAATGCTCAATCATGTCTCTCCATTGCTCTCTACTTCAGATTGTGTCCTGTCATTGTATCATCATTTTGTGCAGAAAAAAAGAAAAAAAAATGTAGAGTAGCGCATGAATTGATCTAGTATTATGTTTACTTAAATTTAGTCAATATATTATATATTTTTCATCTTTATAAAAGGTATTTTTTTGGGGTTAAATCTCATAGAATTAGCACAAATTTTTTTTTGTTTTTTTAAAAAAATGAAGTTATAACGGCGTTTTTAAACGTTACTATAGAATACCAACGGTTACATTTTGAAAATAAAATTGACCTATCACGGCGTTTTTAAAACGTCGATAAATGAGTAGTGATGTCATTGTACAATTATGCAGCACATTTAGCGGCGTTTTTAAAAACGCCGCATATACTGATATAGCGACGCTTTTAAAGCGTCATAAAGCTACAGCGATGGCCGCAGCTTCGGCGTTTGGTACAAAACGTCACAAAAACAATCAGCGGCGTTTTTGATAGCTATAGCGGCGTTTTTTAAACGCCACTAAAAACTCAATTTCCAGCAGTGACAACACCCCGTTAGATTTAAATCTAGACCATACATAACATTTCTGTAAAATTATTCAGCATCAATTTCACTTTTCTGACTTTCTTTAATAACCCAAAACTATGCAAGTTTTTGCACCAAAAGAAGACCTAGAACACACTATTTCCACTATTTTTCTTCTTCCCTTTTCACATAAAATTCAAATTATGTGAAATTTTGAAAAAAATCTTTGCCGCAAATTGGAGATGAGCAGAACAGAAGTTGAAATTCTGAAAAAATGATGACTGAATGGAACTCACATAATAAGAATATTTATATACATATTAGCGTCTATGTAAATGTTATGTGTGTACCAATATATAATATAAAAAAGGTGAATAGAAATCGCCTGTGAAATCTTATTTATTTTATATATTGCTTGAATAAATATGCTGAGAGGGTCTAGACAAAGTTGGCTCCCCCTGGAATCTTCTGCGGTGGCTGCGGTGGTTGTTCAAGTCAACGGGAAGACTTGGTATGTTTTGAAGTTCAAGTCAACGGAAAGAGTTGGTAGGTTAGGAAGTGTTTGGGTGTGTAAGGTACATATTATTTGTGTTTGTGTAAATTTTTACAAATATATAGAAGGTACCTTCTAAAATTATGTCAGTTTTCATAAATATACGTAAGTTGTGATTTCTTACATTATTATGGACTAATTTAAGTATATTTATTAAAATTTATGCGATTTTGTAAGATAACTTACGTATATTTATGAGAATTTACACAAGAACATATGGTATACACTTACACACTTCAGAATTGCTCTAATTTAATTTCAGTCATACGATGCAATCTTTTGTACTTAGTTATATAGGTAAAAAGTAATGATACAGATTCATACTTTTAACTCATAACTCCACCCACAATGATGTTGTAAGAGGGTGGATCCTGTACTATTAGATGTATAATAAATCAAAAGTTGACACATATAATATCACATAATTGTAGATACAATTGTGAGACTTTTTTGTGAGTATTAAACATTTTCCGTAGGTAAACTACACTTTGTCATTTTATGTTTGGTCACTTTTTTACTTTATTTCTTAAAGTTTGTCAATTTACTGCAATTAACTTATATTCAAAATTAGATAGAAAATGCCATGAAAACTGTCACATAACATGAAAATATATTATTATATCAGAAATTGAGTTTGTATCAGAGATGCGAGTTATATTTAATGAAATATTTTTATATTACGTGATTGTTAATATGTTATTTTTATCTAATTTTTAACAAAAATTAACTTTAGGAGTAAATTGAGAAAAACTTAAAATATGATGAGTCAAAATAGAAAAAAATAAATTATAATAACCAAAGTAAAAAGTAATCAAACATAAAGGCGACAAAATATAATTTATCCTAATTATATATATATATATATATATATATGTATAAATAAATTTAATTGATTAATTTATTGCGAGAACAGGTACTTTAATTCATTGAGTTCAATGCTTGTTACCATATAATTCAATTTTTTGAAATCTATTATATTGTAATGATATTATTAAATATGTATCGTTATGACAAACAAAAGTTATTACTAGAGAGCGTTTATACCAAAAACTTTTCAGCGTTGAAGTTAAGTATTTGTTTGGCATGTGTTAAAATAACACACGTTATTTTAGTATATTATTTTATTTAGGTTATAATTATCTTTTTTAGGTCACATCGCTTCTCTACCATATCACTTCAAACTCAATCTATATTTCACGTTTTTTTCGTAAAAAGTCAAAAAGTATACTAATCTAACACTTTTTAAACAACCCCTAAATAGAGCTTGAGTGAGAGAAGATAATAAAGATTAGGAATTATAATTTCAGAATGAGTTATCTTACATGAAGTATCTCTCTCATATACTAAGGCCTCATTTGAAAACAGACTTTTTTAGTAATTTTTTTTAATTTTTTTGTTAAAATATAATGTAAAAAAAAAAAAGAGTATGTTTGGGATAAATTTTTAATTTTTTACGAAAAAATGTGCAAAAAATAGAGAGAAAAAAAAATCTTTAACTTTTTGATATAAGTTGATGATTTCTTAATTTTTTGGTGACTTTATGACTTTTAAACTAAAAAATAATATCACCAAATGAGGCCTAAATTTTTTACCAAACATATGTAAATGTTTGGTAGAAATTTATAGGTCTCTCGCATGCTCTTTTGTATGGAAAATGTTAGACCCCAAATGTCTTGTATATATTGTGGTGGATATTTTCTTGTAGATATCTCATCCAACTGGGGAGCACCACGTGGACCTTTTTGTCCAACTATGTAGGTTTCCTGGGGAGTTCAGATCCTTTGAAATCCTATCCTGCAGTGCCCTAAAACGATATCATTTTAGGACAAAACTTAAAAAAAACAAAACAAGTTGCATCGGTAGATAAAACATAACCAAAACAAAAGCCCCATCATTCACCTCCCCCACTAGCTCCGGCGACCCCCAATCCCTCCGACGACCTCCCACAGTCTTTCTTCTCTTCCTGTGATCCTCCCCAGCTACACCTCTCCCTCATTCCTTTTCCTCTTCTTTTCTTTTCCATTTAGATCTAGACAAAACATAGAGAGGATATATATATATATATATATATATCAAAACAAACAAATATACAAACTATTTTACCAAAAAAAAAATTGAAATCACAGAAGTGGGTTTAGTTGAGAGAGAAAAAGATGAGTTTGCTTTATATGGTGTCTAAAATTAAAAAGTGGATTTAATGTGGGTTTGCTTTATGGGTTTAAAAGCTAGAGAGAGAAGTGGTTTAATCATAGAAGTGGGATTGCTTTGTAGTTTTTAGGATAGAAGAAGGAGGATGTGAAGTAATTATTTCATGGAAGTTGGAATTTATGATAAGATCTACAAGACTACGACAAAATATATTTTTCTGAAATCCTTATATGACCCCTTTGTTAATTACATCAGATAAATATCTAAAAATTGTATGTGTGAATCTAAATCAGATTATCAATAAGATGTATGTGTGAAATTAAAAGAACTGATAGAGAAATCTAGAAGTAAGAAGACGGAAATCTCTCTGTAAACCAGAAGAGAGAAGACAATGGAGAGTTTATCTGCTGCTGCTTCTTGTTATTTTTTTTAAAGTTTTGGCCCAAAATGATGTCGTTTTAGGAAACTGCAGGAAAGAGTTGCAGGAAAGGGTTGCACATGTAACGCCCTCAAAATTAACCCATTAAATATATCATTGACATGCATTATTTAAAGAAGACAATTTATTAATTCATTCATCAGAGTATTACTAAATAAAGCATTACATGTAACATTGAATAAAATGCCTTACAGGCTTACATCTTTCCAAGCCAACACTTGGATACAAAAATATGAGTTCTAACTCAAAACAAGAAAAGCCCTAGGCTTGAATGTTTACATGTAATATCAAATAAATAAATATAACTAAAGGTAGTCTTCTATGCAAATGCAGCAGACACAAAGGAATGAGATGCACCCGTATCAATCAAAACATTAGCAACCGAGTTGCAAAACAAGAAGGTACCTCTCACAACTGATGGTGCTGGCACAAGATCCTGCGCGGTAACAGCATACACGCGCCCAGACGACCTCTGATCAACCTCATCTCTCTTCATACCCCGCCACCAGAACTGGCAACCCAAATCCCGATACATCTTAGTGCCTCCCGGATGCA